TTGCGGGGCAGAAAGGACCATGACAGCATCTACAGCATCATTTGATATGGTTAGCAGCTGCTTAGCAAATCAGAAATGACCCTTGAGGTTTAAAAACSCAGGAGATGGAGGGAAGTGGGAATGTGGCTACACCTGAGCTGTGTTTAGAGAAGTCTTTTTGGCCTTGTTGAATGCATGTGATGAACYAAAGCATTCCAGAAAAGAGGAACATTAGGGAGCAGCTGATCTGTCCCTACTGCCCTGATCTGCTACACACAGAGCAAGCYCTGGGAGATTCCTCCCTTCAGCTGTGACTGTGCTGTTTAGAGCAGATCATTAACAGATCTGACCTGTCCTCCACGTGACTGTTTTTTAATTTTTTTTTCATTATCCCTCCTGTTTCTTAGCCTGTCTTATCCAGTCCTTGGCATCAGCTCTTACCTGAATAARGGACAACTGCCTTTGACATGAGGAGGAAGATGCTGTACGGAGATCTTGAAAACAAACTTGCTTGTCAGGACCGTCTGCCTTGCAGAACATATTTTTTGGCTTTGAGGGTGGCCTGCTTAGCCAAGCCTGACTATTTCACYATGCTGCAGAGGCTGCCCTGGTATTAATTCACCTCAAAGAGCAGGTTGAAGTCATTAAAATATTTTGCAGGTGGTTTCTTGAATTCATGGTGCAGCTGGATCCAGCCTAAAGGGGGGGAAGGGATGGAGGAGAAGAGGCAAGTTCTGATGAAACACAAATTAACATAACTCACAGAAGGGAAAGAAAATCTGTTTTCAATCTCTACAACAAAGCCAAGCAACACATCAAGCTGGAAAGGAGAAATGTCAGCCAGGCAGTGCTGGGGATTTTATTGCTTTAGCACAAGTGCTTTTCCACAGTCCCAGAAGTGCCCAGGTGCTACTGCAGCAGCCAGACCCCCTGAGCACAGGTCTGGGTATGCAGGGATGTGGGAGGCTTCACAACAAGACTCTTGCTCCTATATGGGTCTAGGCTCAAGGTTTGTGTTAATGCCCTGGCAATAGAACTTGTGTGCTGGCCTCAGTCTCTGTTGTGCRTGGAAACTCCACAGGAAATGCACCATTTCGTGTCCTTAGAGCTGGATACACCTTTTTTCAGGAGAAGCTGAAGAGGCCTGAGCCGTGCAGTCCATCGGACACTCACAAGGGAGATCCCAGATCTGGTACCTCCAGATCACCCAAAACYGCTCTGGCATCCCCTGGATTGAGCTGTGCCTCCCGATGTGCAGGGGCACCCAAGTCCTTGGTCCTTCCTCRGGAGAACAAGGCATTTTGGCAAAAAAAAATCATCATGTTGGAGAGCTGTCCTGGGTCTGACTGGGATGGAGGTATCCTGCTCCACACCAGCCCAACACAGGATGCTGCTGAGCCTTGCATTTGGGACTAACCCAGTGTTGCTAAACAGGGATGTTTTGGTTCTTGGCGAGCAGAGCCAGCTTTGAGACAGGGAGCAGGCTGGGGTTGGGCAAGAGACTGGGAAGGGACACAGCCAGGGTTGTGACCCAAACAGACCCCGGGGATGTTCTGCACCATATGACGTCAAGCTCAGAGATTGGAAGTTCAGGGAAGGAAGGAGGAAGGGGAGGTGTTTGTGGTTCCCACATTTGTCAGCCCMAAAAGCCATCATGCATGCTGAGGCCCTGATTCCCAGGAAGCAGTTTCCTATCTGCCTGTTGATGGGAAGTRGAGAATGAGTTCCTCTTTCTGCTTTGCTTGCCAGTGCCTCTTTTGCTTTCCCTCTTTAACTGTCATTATATCAGCTTGTGAATCATCTCACCTTCCATTTTCTCTCCACCCTCTATGAAAGAGAACTGAGACAATATTTGGGTGGCTGTTTGGCTGATGCCTTGGGTTAATCCACCACAAGAACTGATTTTTCAAAATTCACCAACCTTGTTCATTGCAAAAGAAAACAAAAGACTGAAAAAAACAGGTAAAAAAGAAAATAAAAAGAACCAAGCTAGTCTATTAACAAGACTATGGCTGATGAGGCAATTGTACAGCTCTGGTCATKGCTGGCTTTGTGGTGGACATGTATGGGATGTGCCACAAATCAAACCACAGCTACTTGCTTTTTCTTCTGTGGGAGAGCAGTGKGGTCTGTGGGCAGGATTGCTTTTTGGTGTTTTGAATCCCCCCTGCAGAAACATGAGTGCAGGTGTTTGGATAAAGGATAGTGGAAAATGTCACCTTTTCTGGCTGCAATCRCACTTCAGTCTGAACAGAAGGAATGGTGGAGGTTCCTGCCCCMGCCTACACAATATAGGGCCTGTTTTGCCATACACATTTTTTTCCCTCTTCCTTGGAGGGGAATGAAAGCCTCCTGAAGGCTCCACATTTATGCCTAAGACAGTCTGCTATCAAATACATGAGCGCACAATCACTCCTGGGAGGCTGTTGATGTGTTTAGCTCTTGCCAGGCTGGAGTTTGGTGTTGCATCTCTTTGCTTTGCCATGAGCTCTTGGCGGTGGCAAATGCCTGCAGTGGACAACAGTGATAGAAGGAGATGAGAAAGGTTTGGCCAGGGACTTCTCATTCCACCAGCCACTTCCAGGCCACTTCCTTTTCCCTCCACCAGCAGTTCCCCCAGTTCCCCCTTTGAGGCAGCTGTGGTCAGTTTATAAAACTTGGTTCAGACGTGGTGCATATTTACAGTGTGGAGCACCTTCTGTATGAATGTAGGAAAAGAAGGGTTGAGCCAGAGGACTACAAACTCTTCCTTGAGTGTCAGCAGAACATGTCAGGGGAGGCAGGGTGAGCAGCAGGAGAAGAGKGACCAGGGCTTTCTCACAGGCAGCCTGAAGGATAGGGCTGATGGCCCAGCAGACACATCCCATAATGTGCTGGAAACTGTTGTTCTATAAATAACCCCATTGTTTCAGCAAGACATCAGCCTAGGGAGACTCCACTGAATCAGCAGTTTCTTTTCTTTTTTTCTTTCCTGATTGCAAAATCAGAGTCGACCCATTGCTGCAGTCGGTGACGGTGGAGCGAGAAATGAAAGCCGGCAGAAAGCGGGACGGGAGCGCACGCAAGGGCTGAGCCAGCACGTTGGGACAYGGCTCTGGCACCCGGGGTGTGGCCCAGACCCTGGGCTCCATGTGCACTGGGAAATGTGCTGCCTGCTTGCACAGGCTGACATTAGACAGAAATGCACCACCCCCTTCCAGGCAGTCAGATGTTCACCTGGACAGTGGGAATGTGGCAGCCCCCAGAGCTGCATGGCTCTACATTGACTAGGAGTAAAGGTATGAACAGCTTTATGTATGAACAGAGATAGGCAACTGCAGTCATAGAATCACAGCTTTCCCCCAAAAAAAGTGGAGAATTGGACTTCAAAACCCGAAGCCTTGCAGTTCAGGGCTGTCAGAAATCACTGGGATCTGCTTTTGTACCCATGCCACCTGGGCTGTTGAGAGCAGCACACCCATAGCACGACCATGAATCATGTGGAAACTTATCCCTGAGCTTCTTTCTCAGGGAAAGAGGGCACAGAGACCTCATTGCATCTTTTGTCTTTAGGAGGACTTTTGACAACTAGTTCTGCCAGCTTATTTTTAATACTTTGAAATAAAAWGGATTTGACTAAAAGTATTATTAAAAGCCTGTCTTCTGTAAATCAGCTCTCTGTGTGCACCTAAATCACATCCATCTCTATAAACAACTTGGCAGCACAAGTGCAGTCATTCCCAACTCATCACCCAGCAAGAGTAGAYGGCTCCAGGCTTGTGCAGAGTGGTCAGCTGAACCACCATGACCATCAGAAATGGGCTGGRTATGATCCTTTACCCCATAAGGAGGTGATGCCATGAAGGGAAAGGATGCACAGGCAGTTACTATGACTCAGCTGATCCATGGTAACCTCTTGAGCCTCCTTAATTCAAGGGGATATCTGAGCCCTTCACAAGGAAGCAAAATATCCCAACTCCTACACAAAGTGTAGCAGAATGTTYAAAAATGGAGAATTCCTCTTCCTGCCTGCTGGGGACAAGCCAGGTCACAGCTGCACARGCACATTTGAAAGGAGAACACAGAAGTGTATTCAAAAATCCCCACATATTTGTGGTTTCAGCCTTTCAGAGGTTTGTACATCAGGTGCAGAGCAGAGGAATGCACTCTGCRCTCTCAGGGTGTGCATCTCCAGCTCACCCCTACCTGAAGCTTTTGCCACACTTCATTCCATGGCCAAGCAAAGCAGCGAGGACACAGCAGCCCCAGGGATGAACACAGAGCTGCAGCCCAGGACAAAATCATGTGACAGTGACTGCCTTGCACCYCGGAGAGGGCAGGACGTGGTGGTGGCAGCGTGGATGCAGAGGGCTCTGCCCAGCTCCTAYAGACGGCTCCTGTCCATGGGCGTGGGTGAGTCACTTGGCTTTGCAAAAGCAAAATCAAACCCGACACAAATGGAGATGTCAAAATGCCAAAGGCCATGGTGAGGTCTGCAGCGGGGAGTTTGACAGGATGAGGGCAAAGAAAGGCTGAAGGGATAGGAATTGTGGAGAGACTTTCTAAAGGAAGCCACTATTATCTCTTCTCCATATYATCCCAAACCCATTTGGGTTTCAGCACCCCCATCCCACCATCACTGACTTGTCTTTACAACCCCTCCTGATTCTTTCCCTCCCTATAGTTGAGTCACACACAGTCACTCAGGTGTCACCTTGGTTCACATTACTGTGGGTTTCACTGTGACCAARCCCCAGGAAAGGGATCATCAAGCTAACATTGAATGTGGAATCCTCTTGGCTGTATGAGGAGGTTTATGTGTGTTAGGCACAAAATCCCTGTGCCCATCTCATGCCTAACCCCAGTACAATGGAGGGATATTGAATAAGTCCAGGTTGAAGCTCTTTCAGGATCTTGCCCAAGGCTCTATGGACTCCAAGAGAGCACACGAGAGCAGCTGAACATCTCAGCTATGGGATTTTTTGAGGAACTGTTCAAATTACCACATCAGAGTTCTCAGCAGTCTATAAAAACTGAGCAGATAGGAAATGCATATCAGAAAGCATATCAAATCAGGAGGCAGAGAGGAAGTCCCTCCAGTTCTTCATTGTCCASTGTCTGACAAGGCTTTAGGTTAGCCACAAGAAATTTGTCATGAAAATTAAAGACAAATACGGGGAAGATGGAAATTCGAGTGATATKACCTCTTTCAGTGTTTCAGACAAGATTGGGTTTGCCTCAGCTGCTACCACAACCTTTCAGATAAGTGGTAAGGTTTCTTTTTATTAAATGGATTTATATGGATTTTATCTGGTCTAAAACAACACATAAAAATTAAATACTGCACATTAAATGCTTTTTGTACTGATTATGCTGGTAAATTAACTGCTATTTAAAAATAGAGGTATGCCAAACTACCCTTTCTAGCCAAAAGCGGATGTTGAGCATCGGAAAAAAATTAGTTATTTTCCCTTCTTAAAAAATGTCTAATTTTCTTGAGTAAGACTTTCATGTTTTAATAGTTAAGACACTAAAATCATCAGACTGAATTAAAAAATGTAAGTTTATGAATTTTTAGCTGAATACAAATGCTTCATTGCTGACTAAGCCATTCTATTGTAAAATCAATTAAAATACTGTACTCTTTTAAAACTAAGACTTTAAACTCCTGATTACATTACTTTGAAAAAAAAAAAAAGGAAAAATCTTAAATGAGGGTAACTTACTGAATATCTGACACAGTTACTAATGCTTCTGAAATACTTCTTTTCTCCTGGAAGGCCAAAATTCAATAAAGCTGCTTATTTCTTTTACACTTGTTGGTAATGATTTGGTTTATGTGTTATSACTTGTTTCAGTCTGTTCTGCCGTTCAGTTTATTATTGATTTTTCATTTATTCTCATGCATACATGCATCAGTGTTTGAAGCACAGGTATGCAATGCTCTGGATGGAGAGGGAATTGCTTTGAGCAACCCTCCGAGTGGCAGCCTGGGACAACTGGAAACGGGGAGTTTATTGAGGCAGAAAGGGGAAAACCACCACACTGACACTGTTGTAGGCTGCATTAAGCCTTGCTGGAGCTGAGGTGGTTAAATTGGGTAAGGAAAGGATGGCCAAGCAGATTGCAGAGCAGAGCTCGGAGCAGAGGAAGGCAGGATCGAGCACTCTCACAGGGGAACCTTGCTGCTCCCCATCGCTGGAAAACACTGCTCTGTTATTGTGGCCAAACCTGAAAAGGCTGGAAGCAAGCAGAGCTTGTAGAGGAGAAATGTGAGAGGGTGCCCACACTTCTTCTGTTGGTTTTTAGAGCCTCGGGGCCAAAAAAAGGCATCCAAATGCTGCGCTCGGACAGCCCTGAGCCTGTACCTGCTGCTGCTGACGGCCGGCCAGGCGCTACTGATGTACAAAGGTAACGCTACAACCTCACCCAGGGCTCGGCATCACAGCAGAGCTTTGCTGGGTGCTCCTGGGGGCACGGGCAAGTGGGAATGAGCACGGAAATAGGAAACATCTGAGGCAGCGCTGATGCTGCTCCGCGCACCGCCAGGCTGCAGGAAACAATTCCCCCGCTCTGTGCGTGTGCTCCGCATGTGCAAAAGCGCTCCAGCTGCACTGCTGGCTGCAGCCAGGGCTGGCACACCAAATCCACCTCCCTGGGTCACACAGGGGTGGTCTTTATCCCCCGGTGTCCTCCCCAGGTGCTGGGGAACTGCTCTGCCAAACAAGCATTTCCCAGCCAGGCCGGGCAGCGAATATTCACTGCATGGGCCTTTTGTTTCCTCAGTATTTAAGATGCAGAGAGAGATATTGAAACTTCAAGAGCAAAATGCCTCCTATACAGAAGAGGTTTTGAAGGGTTCCTTTGCCAACAATCTGGCTTTGGCGAGGAGCTCCGGCGGGAAGAGYTTTCTCATGAGACATGAAGAGAGCTGGAGGAGAAGCTTAGAAGAGGAAATCACCATAATTAAAAGCAACAATGCAAACCTGATGATGAGGATGAACAACATCTCCCTGGTTGCAGGTATGGTTCTCCATGCTGGCTCTACAGTGGGGAGACCTGGTTCCTCTGCACCACTGCTAAAGCAGGGMTGAAAACCCAGTTTAGATAAACAAATAGCTGGGGCAAGATTCAATCTTCCTGTCAGCTAGTGATGCCCCCATATGCACAATTGGAGTCAGCTCCAGASCTGGGAGCACCTACAGGAGCTGGAGCACTGGCCTGTGCAAACCCCCAGATCCCCCTGCAGCTGCACATGTGGCTCTGGGCTCCTCTCCCCTCCCGTGATTTGTAGATTTGGGCTCCAGGTGCCCTCCGAAAGGGGAGTGCCTCCAGCCCATACCTCAAGCCTGTCAATCCCACGTTGCTGTGTTTCTCACTGACTGCTGACTGCTGAAAAATATCCATTAAATATTTATTTCAGGGCCTCCTGGACGCAAAGGGGATCCTGGTCCACCAGGTATGTTGGTAAATGAGCTGCAGCTTTTCCTCTTTTCCTCTTTTTCTTTATTTCATCTAAGAGGCCTTAAGTGAGGATTTGTGATTTCAGTCTCTAGACCAGGCCCTACCCTATGCAGTGCTCTGGCTGTGAGGAGATCTGCTGTGTCTTTTCACTGATCCTTCAGGAGCCTTGGCTGACCCGAGTGCTCCCACAGTGGTGGGTGCCCACCCTGTCCCCAGGAAAACAACATTGTCACAGCCCAGGAAGGAGCTGAGTGCAAGCTCTGCCCTCCACAGCCACGCACAAGCTGCTGCCCTGCATACCTGGGGGTTTGGGTAGAACTACACCTGCCCTAGGAGGCAAATATCTCCAAACTGTGAGGATGCAGCAATTCCTGGCTCCATTTCGAGCAGAGGTTGGACCAGGCAACAGTTTCTGTGATCCTGTGATGCAGCCCTTGTTAGGTCAGGTTTGCAGCTCATCCATCCSTACTTCTTGGCTACAATGATGAGATTTTCTGAAGGAAACAAAATTCAAAAGTTTGTTTTCATATCTTCCTGGCTACACTGATGACATTGAAAGAGCACCTCCTGCCAAGCAGTGTTATTGCTCATCAGAGCCCAATAGCTCAGTGCATTTTCCTGAAAGATCTCCCCAATGGTCCCCACGAGCTGGGCTTGGCAGGAAGACAAGCTGGACCCTGCCCAGCCATGCACTCTGCTGAGCTCCAAGGACTTTACTCAAGTGGTTGTGCTGGTCCCTGCCAGCTGAAGATTGGCCTCACTGGTGACTGAAACCATGTGAACAAAGGATGATTAAAAAAATTCATCTCCTCTTCTTAGCCATTACTGTGAATAGATGATGTGTGTCAGCTGATATATGTATTTTATATCTCAGGGTTACGGGGACCACCAGGGACAAAGGGAGACCAAGGTAAGGCTTTTCTGACACCTGAATTACTTCTGTGGGTGAACATAAAGTGGCTTTATGGATGATTTTACGAGCAATCTTGTCCTCAGCCAAGGTGCAAGCGAGTAAGAATGTCATTAGGGTTGAAGGAAATAAGCTTAAGTAAAGCTAATGTGAGCAAAAGCAAAACTTAGCTGGAAAAAATCTTATTTTAAAAGTCAGTGTGCAACAGTCACAGTGGGCCAATTTCACACTGCCTCCAGCACTCCTCTCAGGTGCACAGAGAGTGGAGTTTGGAATTGTTTGCAGCTCAGATGGGTGTCCKGCTGCTGGCATTCACTGGGCATGGCACCCCATCAAGCATCAGAAAAATGATGTTGTCCTTGCAGGCCTACTTGGACCCCAGGGAGAGAAGGGAGCTCCTGGCCCTGCTGGCCCMAGTGGTCATCCAGGAATGAAAGGGGAAAAAGGAGAGATGGGGCTTGCAGGTAAGACTTCTTCACTGTCTTAATGTTTTTAAGGTTCTCATATTTCTGTTTAAACTCATTCTGCATAAAATACCAGAGGAAGTCTTCAGAGGTCAGYATTCATAAAAATCCAAGCAGCCTTGAGCATGATTTTTCAGTCAGTGAGGGAGCTGGATAAACAGGACACTTGACCTGATCTGAAGGGGTTTAATTTCATGCCATGCTTCAGCAAATCTTCCAAAGGGGGCCTGGGGGAAGGGGCCTTGCAAAGTGTTGACTCTGCACCATGGAAGTCTCTTTACAGAATGACCTTTGTCTAATGAAAGCCACAGATATTCAATTATCAGCCTATCTTAGATTGGAGCAGTGATGTTTGCAGTAGGATTTYCACGGTATAAAATAATACAATATAATTTATATGCACAAGCATGTGGATGTTAGTCCTCATTTTAGGGAAACCTCTTTCTGAGAGCTTTACATCTTGCATCAGCCTGGCTTTATATACCTGGGGCAGAAGAGTTACACGATGTGTTTCTCCCATGTAACCTAAATTGTGGATAGCTGTTACTCAGTGTCTCACATGGGCTGAAAGCAGAGGAGGAAAAGAAAGCAGATGATGTGTGGGGTGCAGAGCAGGGAGGGCAGCTGGACAGGCGGCTGAGAGCTTCCTCAGATCATGCCCCAATGCTCTCACTAGCGCAAGCTGCTCCAGCAGGGAAGGGTGGTTGCAGGAGGAATATCAAAAAGCAAGGACTTTGGGATAATAATGGAGGAGAAATCTTCAAATGAGGTGCTTTCAAGTAATTCAACCCTTTTGGAGCATACTGATCACCTGTTCAGAGAAGAGAAGGTTAAGGGGAGATGAGAGAACTCTCTGGAAGCACAGGAGTGRAATATGCTGCCTGTATCTCCAATGTGGTTAGGAGAGGTAAGGGATATTTAACTAGAGAAAAAACATTCCAATGATAGGGATAGTTTGAAAAAACAGACAGGAGAGGTGTCATGGCACCACTGCAGGCCAGGCAAACATCTGGCCAGACAGACTGACAGAGCCAGAGGTGGWTCAGACAGACCAGCTCTGTCCTCCTGCAGCTTTATGGGAATGCACACCAAATGCAGATGTGAGGCCAAACCTGGCTGCTGCTACGGCCAGAGGTGATCCACAGGCTGCAGAGGCAACAATCTGGTTTTCTGAATGCTTTCACTTGTGTTGTGCTCTTTGCTAGGTCCCCAAGGACAGAAGGGTGACATGGGCAGGAATGGAAACCCTGGRCCCCAGGGAGCCGTGGGTCCTCAGGGACACCAGGGAATCCCAGGATTGCCAGGTTACAATGGTGAGTGCAGAGGACACAGTGAGACCCTGCTGGGGTTAGGGGCTGGGCTAAGGCTCACTGACACTGACCCCAGGGTGTTGTTACAGGTAGCACCGGGAAGCCTGGAGCCCCTGGGCCACAAGGAGAGGCAGGTGAGCAGCACAGAAGGTGCAATTTCTTCTAGAGACATAAGAGAAATTTATTTTAGATGGTGCTTCATGACAAGGAAAACTGCAGCCAGTCTAGATCCCAGCATGGGTAAGAGAAGACGATGATTAGATGAAAACCATGCCAAGGTTTCAATGCTGTCCAAAGTCACCCAGCAGCCTTGGCTGTCTCATCCGGGCCCTGCTCACTGTGCAGGACTCTGAGAGGGAAAGAAAGGCTGTGCTCTCTCTCCTGATGTGTGGGCACACACTGGGGCAATAATTGGCTGCTCTTTTAGGAAAGCACGTGTGCATTTCAAGGCTGGCAGTTTTCCAGGATCTGCAGCCCCTCACTCCAGATCATCACGCACTGCATTGCTGAGATCAGCAGTGACAGGGGACGACTGCAATTCAGACAGGCCCAATGTTTGTTTTGTCTCCTTAGGCTCAATGCAGAGTGCAAGGGCTGGTCATGGAGCTTTTTTTCATCTCCTTCATGTGTTTTGTTACATTTCATATGTGCTGCTTTCACTCAACCTCAAGGTGCACCTGGACAGCGTGGACCYCCTGGAAGTCCTGGCCCTGAAGGCAGACCTGGTCAGAAAGGGGAGAAGGGGGAGCAGGGCCCCAAAGGGAGCCCAGGTACAGCACTGCTCAAACCTGTAACTCACTGACCTCCTACTCTGCCTCACTTTGTGTGATGGCTTCACCCTTACTGATTGCTGTTTGATTTTAGGGATGCAAGGCATTGMTGGACTCAGAGGTGAAAAGGGATATCAAGGAACAGCAGGTAAAGGAGAATAAAACAGGTTTTGGGCCAACAGCACACATCATGGAGACACTGGAAAGGGAACTATAGCACCAAGAGGAGATCTGTTGAATACTGTTTTTGAAGCCCTAAAACATCCCAGGATGCCATGGCAGCCCTGGCCACTGTCCAGAGGGTTGTTTCTAGCATCTAGAATACCCATGAGGGCTGATGGTGCCTGAATTTTTGTATAAATTGAAAATGCACAAACAAAGCAGCAGTTTGAGATGAACTTCAGGAGAAGATGTTTCCCCACTACCTGTATTTTCTTTTTTGACATGGTCTGAAGTAAGTATGATGTGAAATGAGGCACCTGATTCAGAAATAGATGCTTACAGTGTAGACACCTAAACTAGATGGGTTAAATTCATCATAAATCCATCATAAATACTAATTTGCATAAACTTTTATAAATTTACAAACATCAGTCTTACACATTTGTTTGTTTGTTTGTTTGATTGATTGATTGTTTGTTTGATTTTTGTTTGTTTTGATGATCTTAGGACCTCCAGGGCAAAAGGGAGCAAAGGGAGACCAGGGCCCACCAGGTAAACCCTTGTAGCATGACTTATTCTAATGATGCAAAGCACTTTAGGTGCCACAGTGAACTTTTCTGCCTCAGTGGGAAAAGTTTGTCATGGTCTTTCCTTGGGAAGGGACAAAGACAATGACTGTTTTTGCTTTCCATCCAGGTCCTCCAGGCCCAGTTGGTCAAAAAGGAAGCAAGGGTGATGATGGCACTCGGGGTCTGAAAGGAGAACCAGGACTGAAAGGAGCCAAGGGAGACACTGGATATCCTGGTAAGATCTTTGCCACGGGAGCTGTGGAGCCAGTGGCACATTTGGATTCAGGACTGTTGATCACAGAGCAGCACAAGCTGCTTTGGGGAGTGTTCACAGAGCTCATTTGTAGGAACTCAACAAACAGATCAGCCTTCCCTGCAGAGGAATGTGCAGAGTGTCACATGCACACCCTGGAGGTGTGCTAAGAGACATGCGAGTGAACGGATCCGTTAGATTTTCTCAAATCCCTGATTTCACAGAAAACTGGAGCAACCCGCGCTCCTCTTTGCTTTGTTCAGAGACATCTCATAGCCATCGTGTCACTGGGATAAATCCATGTAAACACTGCTCTCAGGAACATGGAATAGTGAAGTTATTGGAAACGCCTACTAGTGAGGCTATTTTACTACATCCTGCTAGCTGTAGGCACAAAAATAAAACAGCTGTAGGACAAAAATTGAACATCCTGCTAGCTGTTGAACAAAAATTGTTCAAAAGGGCCAACACTACAGCTACTCTCCATCCTTAACCCCCCTCCCTTCCAATCACAGAATGCCTCAAAAAACTTCAAGATCTTGAGTGAAAAAAAACCCAAACAGCCCATTGGTAGCAAACAGTGCTCCAGATCCATTTTTTTCTTCTAATTGTTCACACAGAATAGCACAGAAATCCTCAGAAATAAAATAAACTAGATTCTGTGTGGGGCTCCTCCAGGCACTTCTCCTTTGGAGCTTTGCATCTGGAACAGGGAAGAAATCTAACTGGGCTGGCTCCAGGCCAAAGAGTGCCCTCTGGGTGCATCTCATCTCCTGCTCCCCAGGAGGAGACAGCAATGAGTGCATTCTGGAGTAGCTTTGGGGGAAAAGAGCTCATTGGGTTTTTTCAAACACCCTATTCTCGAGACCAATATGCTCCATAGATATGTGGAGGATTGTTGAGAGCACCTTTTTGCTCTGCCTGGAGAACAAATCCCAGGACATAGGTCTTCCTGCAAGTATTTTGGGRGATACCATGCCTGCTTTTGGAGATCCCAAAGTCTATCAGAGATGTCATTTTACAGGTAGTAGCTGGAATGAGATACATTTCCCGCAAATGAACCAATGAATGGGGTTTTGAAAGTGGCCCTTTTTTGGATTATACATTAGGAAGATTTTGCTGCATTTTATCCTACCTTTCACGCCACATTTCTTTTACCTATCCTTAGTCACTTCAGGGTGTTGTTCRTTTTCCACAGAGGGAGGAGTCTGCACATCTCTGACTCACACAAGTATTTAGAACAAGATAATAACTACATTTTTCCACAAGCAACTGTCAAATGTTTGCTTTTCTAATTTGCAACAGGTTCYTCAGGAGTGAAAGGGAGCAAAGGTCAAAAGGGAGAAGGTACTGGACTTTTACTTCTTATCTCACTTGCCTTCTGGTATCAAAGCTACCTGAGATCTGGACCAAAATCCCCCTCTGCTCACACAGCACAGCTACCAGAGCTGAGGAGTCTGTGCTCTGAGCTGCAGACTGGTGTCTCCAGATGCAGGAGGGGCTCTTGAATTGTTTGGATTTGAGCTTCCAGTAACTTCTGGCCCCACCCTGGAGCTGGGAAATCCATCTCGTTTGGGTGGTCACTGCTCCTACCCATCAATATTTTTTTCCTTACACCTGTATGACCCACTGAGTTATTTTCCTCTCTGAACTTTCAGTCGGCCTCAGCAATTTTGTACGAATCGTGGGAGGAGACAAGAGGGGCCGCGTGGAAATCTTCCACAAAGGGTCCTGGGGAACGATCTGTGACGATAACTGGACCAGCCGAGARGCCACCGTCGTCTGCCGAATGCTGGGATTCAACCGCGCGGTCGCTTTCTTCACGGCCGGAGGAGGTGAGTCCACAGCACTGTGCACCTCAGGCCTGGCAGGGTGGCTGCACACACCTCAGCACGAGGTGATCCCAGCAGGACAGCTCGTTCCTCTGGGATCAGGCGGCTGCAGCTCAAGTGCTGCTTGAACTGTGCCCAAAGGCTTGATTTCCACCAAGCCAACCATGCAACCCAACATACAGCCACTATCCACAGCGCTCTCTTTGGGGAAAAAAAATGTATATTCCTTTTCCTCTCGTCCAACAGTTTCTTGTTTGTTTGTTTAACCTTCCAAAGGCACTGGAGAAATTTGGCTTGATGACGTAAATTGCAACGGGAGTGAAATTACAATCACGGAGTGTTCCAAGCGCGACTGGGGYGCACACAACTGCAACCACAACGAGGATGCAGGGGTGGARTGYGCTTGAWGGGACACCCAGCCTGTCCTGGGAGCTGCTGCTGCTTCTGCTCTCYGTGGAGCTTCTCTTCATGATGCAAACCCAGCTTCATCTGGCTGTGCTTTTGTGTCTCTTTACCAGGTCATAAAAATATTGACAAAGAAAGTTGAATTTTTCACAAATCAATAACAGTTGCAAGACCCRCAGGTAACCTGAAACATCCCAGCTGTCATAAAATAATTGGAGYTCAGGCATGTGAGCCAGTTCACAGCTTTTCCAGCTCCCTGACATCAGCTCATCAGCTGGAGCTCACATGTGTGTGACCTCTAAGTCCACAGGGGAGGGGATGGTCCACGTTAGCTTGTGCAGTAAGAGAATAGGATCAGTGTACAGAAACAGGCACTTTCTGCCACTGAGCTGGCAACTCCATCTTCATCATGGTACAGTTGTGAACCTGAGCTTGAAACCCCCGGGGAAGTGCATAAACCCAGCACAGCAGGTGCTCAGAAATCATCTGATGATCTCTCTGGCATGCCATTGTAAATATTCTTCAGAGGCAATACCGATCACATGTTAAAGTGCAAAAGTGCGTGCCTGGGATCTAGGTGCCATCCTATCYTGCTTTAGCACAGCCCATGTTTTTKACCTCAGTTAAGCTCTTTGYCTTCTCTGTCAGAMTTTCCTAACCTGTCCCCAGGAGCAATACTCTTTACCTTATCTGGTGTACAAAGCTACATTTTTCATACCTTCAGAAATTGGATGCTCAAATAAAGCAAAATGATAACAAATAAAAAAATATAGCAGAGCATGAATAAGCTATCGATTGGTGTTGAATATAGTTAATAAATAAATAAACTAATTGGTGCTCGAATAGATAAAGAAATAAAATTGCACACACACGCCTGTAGATGTATTAGGCAGAAAATATTGAACCGGACTTTCCTGGACGTTCAATAAATAAAGGTTTGCCTGCAAGGCCAAGCGCTGGTCATATCCTGCCGGGATGCCACGAGCGCGAT